GTGTGTGTGTGTGTGTGTGTGTGTGTGTGTGTGTGTGTGTGTGTGTGTGTGTGTGTGTGTGTGTGTGTGTGTGTGTGTGTGTGTGTGTGTGTGTGTGTGTGTGTGTGTGTGTGTGTGTGTGTGTGTGTGTGTGTGGCGTGCGTGCTCGCACGCGTATGTGTGTGTGTGGCGAATCACTGAGTGTAGACATTTACCGTAATGCTGACCTTGCGTCTGTATCTGGTTCTCCCACCTGCAGCTCTGAAGATTCACGTGAGCGATGATTTTAAATCTATGCTCGACAAGTATGGAGTATTTACTCTCGAGGAGCGAGAAGCACAGTGGATCAAGGTATGCGTGTACGCGCGTGCAAGTTCTACATCGGTTCTAGTGAAATTTGTTTGTTATACTAGAGGATAATTTAAGATTTAGAAGAAAAAAACTCCGAATACTACACACAGTTGTGTTCAGCCAAATAAATATTATTTCAAAAGACTTCTGACCCGATTTCCGGCTCTACCCGACTCTCGCACTTCTCCCCCAAACAAATGACTTATCCCCTATTATGCTACTCACGTCCACACATGGGACATACTCATATAAAAATAAACAAACTTTTTGAAGTGAATTGGTTCATATGCACAGCTTGTGTAGCTTGTTCATAAGTGCGTTTACGCATTCACATGCCTGCGCGTGTGCAATAATACTACCAGGAGTGTCATACTATCAATAGCGAATTAAGTATTTAATTAATTAACGAATTAAGCGAGTAATAGTCGATACTAGCAAGTAGTAAGCGAGTAATACGCGATACTAATAGAGTGCAGATGCTAATACAAACTCCACGACCAGAGCCGTATATATATACACTAGAGACTCTATAATACGGCTCTGCCCACGACAGAGCGAGAGCGCTATCTGTCGTGGAGTTTGATGCTAATAGACACGCGTCTATGCTATGTTCTATGCAGGGTAAAGGATTGATGGCGACGTATTGGCTAACGGGTTGCACGAACAGCTCTGGATTGGGAGCAGAGCGATTGCTGGTGACAACGTTTCAGAAACGCCTGAGTGCAACCCACAGTGAATGAGGAATATCATAATTAACACGTCAACTAATATTCATAATTAGGATGGATGATACATAATCATATAATCATAGTCGATAATAATTAAAACGCTGGAGATTTTATGATCAGCGAAGAGGTTTGTATTGTTTTGTGTTTGTGTTATTGTATTGATTGTGCACTATTATCGTGCACTGTTGTGTTTGTATTGCTGATTGATTGCGCACTATTGATTGCGCACTATTAATTACTGTGCACTATTGTGTTTCTATTACTGATTGATTACTGTAGGCCTATTCATTGTGCGTGCCGCGAATTCGTCATTGACATTCGTTTTGAATTTCTTTTTGATTTCATTTTTAATACGTTTAGTTTTCCGAAATTAAAAACATTCCTGGGGCCAAGCTGTATATATGTGACCCGGATTGATATTAGATCCAGGTCTGATTATAGAACCAGGACAGAGCTCGAACGGAAACGGTCTGAAACCTTTAGGAAATGGGAAAGGAATGCGCTAGACGGATCCTTGTGGCGATTTGACTGCGTATATATCCGTCGACAGCGGCAAAACTCAGTAGTATGTGGTCGTTCCTGTATATGACGGTTGTTGTTACATTAGAAATTACTTCTTCAAACAAGTCAACATCGGGTGTTTCACGTCGTGCACGTTACATCGTATATTGCAATGTTGCAACTAGGCGATGCTGCAGCCTAATCGTGTACCTACTACAATGTTTAGTAGTGGCAGAGCTAGTCCGAGCCGACGCAGAACCCAGTAAACCCGCACCCTCAGATTAGCAAAGCGGAGTTATAACGTCTGCATTTGCGGACAATGGCAGTACAAAGGTACAGAGCATAAAAAGGTACGAGCAGCTCGCATTGTATTTCTTCCTGTATAATAATAGACAGTCTATACTGATCTCTACTATGACTGTGATTTAAAGTTTTACTAACTACGCTTGTTTATTTCTAAAGCGTCATGCAACAAATGCTATGGTCTCAAGTTCTATCTATTCTAGATGTGTGGGCGCGCGTGCGTATGCAAATGTAAATTATTCCTCCATAAAAAATTATTCCTAAATAAAAAATTATTCCTCCATAAAAAAAATTCCAGATAAACATTAAAACTAGACAAACAAACAGATAACATAAAGCCATATATTCATAGAACAACATAACATGAATATATATTACCAAAAACTATTATTATACAATAATATTCAAACAACCATATAAAATCATGAACATCATTATTAGATTAAATAAATAACAAACAATTTTAATTATCTTCTATTCATATATACATAGAACAATAACATCGTGAATATATTACCAAAAATTATTATTATACAATATTATTCATACAACCATATAAAATCATGAACATCATTATTAGATTAAACAAATAACAAACAATTTTAATTATCTTCTATTAATATATACATAGAACAATAACGTCATGAATATATTAACAATAACATTATTATTATACAATACTATACATACAACCATATAAAATCATGAACATTAATATTAGGTCTTCAATTCATATATACATAAAACAACATATCATCAGGAGTGAATAAATAAGATATAATTATATATATATATATATAATATATATATATAATATCTCTATTATTCACTCCTGATAGCACCATGAATGTAGTAACAAAAACATTGTTACACAATACTATACATACAGCCATATAAAATCATGAACATCAATATTAGATAAAATAAATACAAAAATATTTATAACTACTATAAAATAATAAAATAATAATCAATGTTATATCATAGATAAAATAAAACAACAAAACTAAATTATACTATAATTTAGTGTCTCTTCAGCATTCTGCATTATCCTTGTCTGTCTCCCTCTCCATCTTTTTGGTGGTGCAAAGCGGTGGTGCTGTGGTGTCTCGTGCGATGCAATTCCGAACTGTTGCAAAGACATGGAAAGTGCCAGATGTACGCACGTGCGTATAATATATATATATATATATACTGTAAAAGGGAGTTGAACATTTCTGAAAAAAGAACAACCAGGCAGTTTATGATATTTTATTAGCTCCAACAGTATAAGACTCTCCTCTGTTGTAACGCTACCTACCTCAGCTAGTTCAGCAGTCAACTTCTCCCTTCTGATGTCACATGAGAGCTCAAGATTCTCCCATGTGAGGCACCTCTGAACTGTTGCAAAAGAGAGCATACAAATGTGTGTATACATGGTCAAACGAAAACAAACACATGCGCACACATACACACCTGCGTGCGCACACGCACACACATACGCGCAGTCACGCACACGCATACGCGCAGTCACGTACACGCATACGCGCAGTCACGCACACGCATACGAGCAATCACGCACACGCACACACATACGCGAAGTCACGCACACGCATACGCGCAGTCACGCACACGCACACTCTCAGAATAGCAGGAACACTACTTGGTACACGTTTTACTTCTGCGTGTGCTATGTGTAGGCGTGCATGCGTGCGTGCGCTTGTGTTTGTGAATTCATGCACCTGCACACGTTCGCGTCTGCTGCACAATAGAGAGGTTCGGCGCGGCGTATTACGTGTACGCGAACGCGAATCGACACGAGTTTCTGTGCTGACGTCATCACTTTGCGGGTATTTTCTCGCGTCATCGACAGCTGCGCGGACGGATTTCACGCCTACACGACAGCTTTCACGTAAGTCAAAAACGTGAACAAATATTGCGATTTTTTCGTGAATACCTTCACAAAAACACCGTTTCAAAGCACATTATACAAAATATACTTATTTAAGATCACATTGAGCTGTGAATTCGTTGTTCTTAGAAATTCGTTTCATGAGAAATATGACGATCAATCTGGCTACTTTCACGTCACATTTTTAAGCGGCATATTTTTTCTTCTTCAAACATCAGTCATGTCAATGCGAGATTTGCTAGTGATATTTGTTGAGATTATGTTGAAAATAGCTAGCACATAAGTTGGTATGTGGTCATTTTATTACTGTGTAGGTAGGCTATTTATTAAGACTATACTATCCATGGATATATAAAATTATATTAAGAAGTATGTATTAATTATACCTTCTTAATACGTTCTTGATACAGTCTCTAAATTTGCACGCAGATTACCAGCAACAGAAGAAGTAGTCGTCGTTGTAACGTTTTTCGTTTATCGTATACATACCCCCTAACCATTTTAAGTGCATATTCATCACGAAATATAACTCCTCTGGTGAGATATTGCGCATGCGCTAACACACTAACGTAGCTAGATCGTGTACTGGCTGGTATATGCAGCAGGGACCTTACATATTTATTCCATCTTCTACAGTACTTCTACAGGATGAGAAATACTTCAGTTCTACAGTACTTCTACAGTACTAATACAGTTTTACAGTACACTATAACCAGGGGCGGCGCCAGGGTATTTTATTAGGGGGCGAAACCAGAGGCGTGTGCAGGATCACGCGAAGGGGGGGTCAGGGGGTCTCTCCCCCAGAATTTTTTTGAAATTAGACCCCCTCAGATGCGTTTTCTGCGCGAGCAGGGGGGGTCCGGACCCCCTGGACCCCCTCCTGTACACGCCCCTGGGAACTGTAGACTCTGATACCGTGTGCGCTTGCACTGACGGATGGGGTCCAGGGGGTAGATTCGTGATTCATCAAGCTGCGTACGCAAAATATTTTGCGTAAATCTTGTGTACGCAATCGATAGCTTTTGTCGCCCTCTAGCGGATCACTATATCTCCCCTTGTGTAAATTTAGAAATAAACAAACTGCAATAATGGTGGCGTTGTGATGATGTGTCGTTCATGCCATGACATTTGTTGCCTACCTGTGCGTGGTTATATTTTAGTACTTGATTACTAGGATTATGTGCTTTACTAAGCTCTATGATCGCGCGAAACTAGAGATCCCGACATTTCATTCAGAATCAGTATTCAGTAAGTTCCTACGTGTGTGACACTGATAGTGATACGTCATGGTCGGTGGGATAATTTTCCATTTTTCAACCGGAACCGCAATGTCTACAGCCGTCAATCTCCTTGTGCTGATTCTACTGTTTATCGGTCAGATTGCGGGACACAATCGCGACATTTTATCAATGCAGGTATTCCATTTATACACATTTGCACCTTTGTGTGTGTGTGCGTGTGTGTGCGTGCGTGCGTGCGCGCGCGCGTGCGTGCCACAGGCACTTGGAACGTCTCAATAAAATTAAAAAATGTAAACACGAAATGTATTTACTACCAAATTTTTAATGTTTCTCTACTCTATTTCGCCTATTATTGCCGATAATTACCCGTAAATGCCGGTCAAATGCTCATCTGCAACACACAAGTACACCGCACGCCCGCCCTGTGCACAAACAACATGAATAAGAGAGCAGGTAGGAAAGCGTGATCGCAAAATTCGCTCGACGCTCGCTTCATTTCACACTACTACAGAACGAAAACACACCAAACAGCCTCCATCTTGCATTCTTGGTAACTCTGTCCTTTGTTCTTACCTACTCCTGCCAGAGATATCTCGTAAAATTCCGCAGGAAATGTTCTCTCCGTGAAAATGTAAAGAGACGAGATGTTTGTTTATACACGAGTAATGGGGCGCGATTGCATGCTGGGATGAGCTGCTGCCTGCCTCCGAGCCTTCGTTTCGAGGCCCGCCAAGCCAAGCATAAATGCACGCGGGCATGACGTCACACACAACATGACTACAGTGATCGATCGAAAGTAGCGCTGTTAGGGATTTTCGAATGAAACGCCTCTTTACATTTTCATGGAGAGAACATTTCTGCAGGATTTCACGAGATATCTCTGGCGGGAGTAGGTAAGAACAAGGACAGAGTTATAATTCGAACAAGTGAACAATTTAAGCTATACACATAGATACCAAGATGGAGGCTGTTTGGTGTGTTTTCGTTCTGTACGTCTGTGAAATGAAGCGAGCGTCGAGCGAACTTTTGCGATACGCTTTCCTACCTGCTCTCTTATCATGTTGTTGTGCACAGGGCGGGCGTGCTGTGTACTTGTGTGTTGCAGATGAGCATTGTGACCGGCATTTACGGGTAATTATCGGAATAATAGGCGAATAGTGTAGAGAAACATTAAGACTTTGGTAGTAAACTTACATTTCGTGTTTACATTTTTTATTTTTTGAGACATTCCAAGTGCCTGTGGTGCGTGCATGCGTGCGTACATGCGTACCGTGTGTGTTCAACGCAGGCATTGGTGTACACTATCAACTTTCTGTTGAAAAGTTGGCGAGTTGATCATTTTCCAACTAATCGACCGAAAGTCGGCAGTGTAAACGTAAAATTTGAGCACTCAGCAAGCTGTAGCAACTAGTTGATGAGAGATTAGAGCATTTGCATTGTCTATTTTCTCAATGTTTGGTGAGTTGATCAAGTTTTTGCCATTCAGCCACTCTGATAGTAGCAATCAGGAAGTGTGTCCCTCCGCCCAGGGAAGAGCGAATTTTTGCTATCGGTGCTAGCTCTAGTACTATAGCCCGCGTACAGTTGCCCCAGGGTATAGAACATTCTATTACGAATGCTAGGGACCAACCCGCTGACTGGCGCTGCTGCAGCGCCACAAAAAATTGCCGTTTGAAGTTCGTAAATAATATGTTCGTTCACAAGAAATACCGCAAGCAGATAGTTACGAGGTTAGTTAGAGGTTAAACTAACTATTGCGAGATTTTTGCTCAGAAAAACTAAATATAGCTGAATGTTATTATTATTATTATTAAATCTTTATTGCATGAATTCAGATACAAATACATTACTGATGACAGTTTTTTTCATGGAGAAAAAATCTGATAAAAGCAATAGTGTTGAGTAGTTAAAATGATAAAATTTCTGATGGATACAGTACAATTACAATGCTATACATTCTGAATATAGTCTTACCTGTCAGCGGAAATATCACTGATTACACCAACATTAAAAATACTAAGATTTTATGCAGTTATAGCATAGAAAAATGGATTTGACCACATCGTAACAGCAATAAATCTTATCGTATGCCGATAATGCCTAATGCCCAATGGCAGAATTGGTAAACTTGTATTTGTGTCGGTGATGAATTGAAAACAAGTGCATGATTTGAGAGAGCCTGTACTATGTCTACGGCAGATAAGCGGTGGCGCCACAAGCTAATCCATATTTTTGGCTAGTTCACAGGCCAGCCAAGATGACAGGAAACAAATGTTTATAAAAACTAGTGGTTCGAAACTGGCATTTTTTTGGTGAATACGAAGGTTCTAAGACATTTTATTGTTACTCTAGACAATTGCTGTTACTCAAGCAATATAACGGTAGGTGTCATGAAAGTGGTGAAAACACCGGAAAACTCTCGCAATAGTTACTTTAAATTTTAGTAGCTGTCTGTGATATAACTGAAGACATATTCACTTCGGATAAGAGGCTTTAATTGCCTACCACAGACGTTTTATAGCCGCGAGTAACCGTGAATAAGTTGGTTCCTAGCATTCGTAATATAATGTTCTATGGCCCTGCGGCAACTGTACGTAGGCTATAGTACTAGAGCTATATATTATTGGTGCCAGACTGGCACGAATCGATATGTGCAAAAATGTGTATATCCACGTCACCCCACGCACACACTACGGGTCAAATTTTGACTTTGAACATCTGATAGAAAGGTTGATAGAACGTTGAAAAACTTATCAACTCATTAACTTTTCCATAGTGTAAACCCAACTTTAGACTTAGTGTAGTGCTTTTCTGTCTTGTCAACAACAACATGTCTGTATCAGCTCAATCTGATAATATTGATTATAATTAGTATTATAAGTATAGCCTGGGCACTCGCAGCATATATACTTACAATTACATAGCCCATCATTATTCCCTACCAGTCACTAAGCCATAACAATTTACTGCACTATTATTTAGTACACTATGATTATAATATATATCACTAATGTGCTACAAAATATTCTGTCATATTTTATTAATTATCCATTTTTTGTTCCATAGCCATCTGCAGAAGGCATACATGTAGCAAAATCTACAACTGGGTATATTTTAATATCTACATTGGATGGTGGGTTAACTGCAATGAATCAAGCCAATGGTGATATAAAGTGGTATTTAAAGGAAGGTTTGTATACACTTATAGCATACTTACAGCTACAGTCGCATCATTTAAAGGGATACTAGGCCCATTAATTATGCAATGTTGCCGAATGCTAGAGTAACTGGCACATTGTGTAGTTAATAAGTACATAACCTTACATCCAAACGCGTATTAGCTTGTCCAATATCACTGCTCGTTACTAAGAAATGTTTAATTGAAATCCGCAGTCCAAGAAATCAGTTGTTTACAGTTTCAAACCGCTGCCGGTGAAGCGGGTGTGATACAGATTTATAGTGCTTCGCACATTTTCGCACGCATGCTCGGCCATACGCTATCATCAGTGATTTTGTAAACACGGACGCTCGTGAGAAGGAACTTTTTGACAGGGCTGTCCATGTGCGTCCGTGATTAGTACTTGTGTTTTACTCCATTTCCATGTTTAGTACGTGGCCGTGGTTACACCGCTGACACTTCCATTTTATCTGGCATCCAAAACATACGGGCTGCACAAATGTTTACGTCATCGCTTGACTCCTGGTTGACATTTACGGCACGTAAATGAATATCAGCAACCGATTTCAAGTCTTGTTTGTAATGTAACCAGCAGTGATATTGGACAAACTAATATGCGTTTGGCTATAAGGTTATGTACATATTAACTACACAAGGTGCTAGTTACCTTAGCATTCGTCAACATTGCATAATCAATGGGCCTAGTATGCCTTTAATATACATAATATATGAAGCAATTTTTGTCATAATCTTATATAACAGACCAAATAATAATTACTATTATTATAATATAGCTGTATATATATTTATAATATATATATATATTAACTATATATCTATTTATCTATACTATTGAGTGGTAGTCTTCGTTTTCTTAATACCTTTATTGGTAGCTAAAGTTACACCGATATAAGTCATATATGTCGAGTTTTTTTTAAAGTAATTGTGTAACGTTTAATTTATGTTTGTTCAATCATAATTTTCAGATCCAGTGTTGAAGGTACCAAATGATGTAGGCCAAGGGTGAGTTCTCATTGATGTCACATCGTGTACATCAAAAGTTTTATTGCTGTAGGAACATACATCATACATATGTTACTTGCATGTCTACATACTTTCTTGATATCAATGTTGTTAATACTAGTATTGATTTGTGCTGTGATATCTTATAATTTATGCATATATATTAATATCTAGTAAAGGAATTAGTTCCGAAATAACTGCACAATCCAGAAAAATATACTGAAATATAGCCTGACCTAATAGGGAACGTGTTACTTATTACTCCAGTATAAAAGTTACAATGAGCTTATGTTGTTATACTATATTTAAAAAAGCAATTAATGCAGCTACATTCTTTCGTAATGCGACAAATCGCTTGAAATCGGCAACCAACAAGCAAAAGTGCATCTCATTGAGTGATGTAGTGGTTCTAGACTGGTACATCATCTCTATTGCTTAATTCAAGTTACTATGTCAAAGTACAGCGACAGGGTCTCGCAAGTAACAAGTGAAGTGGCATCATCGAGTAACGGTGTTAACATGATGTAAACAAAACAGATTGCAATCCTGGCCACAGTTAGAATATATCACTAAGAACTTTCTGCTTTAGGCTACTTCAAAACAATACATAGAAATTGTTTCTAAAATGTTAGTATATAGTACGTGTGTTTACGGTGACACCTTTCACTATTTCAAGAGGCCAGTATATCGGCAAACATAAAAAAGGGTATGTATGTGCTTGCATAGAAATGGGGGTGGTGGCTAGAGTGAGCAACCAGCATATTGCAGTATAACATCAGTGATGACATGACACAGGTTCAGAATTGTCACAAACTCCTTCAAATAAGATACTATAGCCTTTACATGGTTCTCCCCAGGAATTTCAGAAGGCATGCAGAGCAATCAAACAATTGATCTACAGTTGCTGATTATAGTCATTTGCACGTTTCGCAAAGAGGCCCCAATGCACTGGTCTTAAATTAGCATCAGCTTTGAAGACGTGTCGGAACTGACGCATGTTAGAAGTCTACGGAGAACCCTGCATATAGAGGAGAGGAATTTGTATTCTTATAGCGTTGTGGCCGCATTTGCATCATGTGGTGGAGGTTGCATCATGCGTGTGTGGATATATGTACTTCAAAATATTACAATTTCTGTATGTATTTGCAGAGAAGGGGGCTGCATCTTAAATTGAAGTTTTAAGGAAACATTGCACCAAATAGATGAGGGCATGCACCTAAATGTCAGTTGTGTGATTTGAAATTTTGATGGTGTGTTGGTAGAACAGGTTCCACAACAGTACGGGAAGTAATTAGCAGAGACAAATGTGATCATTTGGGTTTTTATGGTGGTCGTCAATGATATATGACGGCATGGCATGACACTGTACACAGTCATGGAATTACGTCTGAAAACCAAGCCAGTCCTGATTTCAAATTTCCATTTCTATTACACACACACATACACACACACACACACGCACGCACGCACGCACGAACACGAACACGCACACGAACACGGGCACACACTTATATATGTAAGCTTTGTAAAATCCTTTGAAATTAGCTAGTCTTGCTAAAGGGTTATCAGTCCCGGACTATAGAACATGCTTCTATTTACAATGCTGCTGTACAGGTGGTGTTATTACTATTAGTTTTATTAAAGGAAAACGTGGGCAAGTGATGCACTGTTGACAACGTAGGCGTTTGGACCAATGCCCTGATTCATCATCATCATCAGTTTAATGTCCGTTTTCCATTTCGGGGTTTGACAGTTTTATTCCACGACGCCATTCATCTCTACTCTGACACATCTCTCTCCCGAGTCCTCCTGCTACCAGATCTTTTTCTACTGCCCTTAGCCATGTCATCCTGGGGCGGCCTTTTGGCCTGATGTCATCATTCCCCACTTTCTCCACTCTCCTCAATAAGTTTTTCTGGTTCCCTTCGTTCCACATGCCCAAACCATCTCAGCCGATTTCTCCTTAGTACATATTCCAGTTTCTCCAAACCAACCCTTCCCAGAATTTCATCATTCGAGACACGATCTTCCCACATCACCCTACACATCCAATGCAGCATATTCATACCTGCTCTTTCAAAAATGGCTAGGTTTGTCTTTTTATTGTTTCGTCATGGCCCACGTTTCTGATCCGTAGCAAAGTACTGGTCTCAGACATGTCTGCTACACTTTATCACGTGCTGTTAGCGGAACACTCTTGTTCATCAGCATACTCGCCAGCAGTCTCCACCTGCCCCACATAGCTTTCACACGTGTTCTTATAGCACATTCCACATCCCCTTCGGTATTCAGCATGTCTCCAAGATAACAGAATCTATCCACCCTCTCAATCCAGTCATCATCAACTGTTAATCCGTCATGTTGATGCCCGACGTCAGTGTTCATTCACACATTTTCCAAAGAGAAAACCAACGATATTCAGCTTCCTCAAACCTGAGCATTGTGAACCCATTTCTCACAGTTGGAGCACTGAATCGAGTTGCATCCAACACCTTTCCGACAGATGGCGCATTTGTCTCATTTTTCTCACATTTCTCCGGTCACAAAAATTTTGGTCAGAAATATCAGTTAATTTAAATTCATCAAATGTTTTGGAGAAAATTATATGAGGCTTCGCCACATGGTGATAGGGTTGTTGGTGCAAATCACTGTAGCATTTACGCACTTGGTAGATGCAAGGAGAAATCTATAACGAGTTCAATAGTAATTTTGAATCTCTTTCTCTCTAGAAGATCAAATAGAATTCTTATTTCTCGTTACATTTTGCGATGACTAAATCATCTTGCCATGTTAATTCTTTACGTCTTCAGCCTATCGTTCCTGCCGGATCCCAAGGACGGATCTCTGTATGCGTTCGGCGGACACCTTGGAGGGCTCAAGAAGCTGCCGTTCACCATTCCCGAACTCGTCGCTGCCTCCCCATGCAGGAGCACTGACGGAATTCTCTACACAGGTGTCGTATAGCATGTACAGATGCGCGAGTAATGCGGCACACGAATTAGTAGGCGTGCGATTCTCTTAGTGTGTGCACAGTGACTTTCGCTGCAGTTGTCTGTACATGGGCTCGGTGTTCGTCTAACTGACGTCCCCCTGGTCGTGTAGGCATGTGCACTGTCTCTCGCAAAGTGAGGATGTGGTGCGCTAATCGCAAAAATGTCATAGTTTTATCGTAGATTTGTCGTAAGGGGGTTTTCAACGATAGCCGTTTTCATCGCGGCAGCGCACCTGCTGGGGAATCATATACTGAGGCCTCGTTGGCTTGCAGGTCGTAAGCAAGACACGTGGTTTGTGCTGGATGCGCTGACAGGGTCGAAGCAGCAGACACTGGGAATGGGCAGTCCTGAGAGAGTCTGTCCTGTAGACAGTGAGAAAACCCTGTACGTTGGTAGAACAGGTAAGGACAGCTGCTGTGGCAGCCGAGTCACGCGTGTCCACGGTGCATCGCAGAGAACACTTTGAATGTTCTCGACGTTTTTCGCACGATTTTTCCAGTGAGCGTGAGTCATCGAATTATCATGTGCTATGTTTATTTGTTGTATTTGATAAAGAGCTGTGGATGTCGGTTATATTTGTGTCAAATATGTGAGGAAAAAGATGGTGTTGTGTAGCTGTGTAATAGTGCTGTAGTTCATTTTCAATGTGATTGCAGTTGTTGCCTATTTTGTGCAGAATATACTGTGGTGATGTTCGATAAGAGTGGAGAGAGAAGGTGGAATGCAACCTACTATGAATACGCAGCCCATGTCGGGCAAGAAGACACTGACTATGGTATGATGCACGTGTCTCACAAAGTTGTTTAATTTTGAGGAATTTTGAAAAAAAGGGCCTTTTGCAGTATGATTGCATCAATCTATATTATCCAGATTTTTTTTTCTTGAATTGGAATTTCATCAGTGTTAGGGTATTCGGACACTCTATGCCCTCTTTTCTCATAAATGAATTTGTATCTTTTGGAAATGAATTCTGAGATATACTTGCAATTTCAAAATAATCTATAAAGTTAAGTGGCATTATTTCCTGGGTTTGCAATGCTAACTGCCCTTGGCATATTAGAGGCATTTCCAGCTATAGATTGCATGGTGGACTATTGGCGAGATGGTAGTTTTCTGCTTGTGAAATAATAAGCTGATTACCTTGTACGCTACAGGTGTGTATCATTTCACCTCCAGCTCTACGGGGGTCATGGTGACCATCGACAAAGACTCGGGTATGTATGCTATTTCTTTGTTTGACAACAGTGAATGCTGTTACCCCTGTTTGTTATTCACATAAAAAATTCGTCTGAATTTGCGAGTGTACAAACTCGGAGATGAAGTTGTCTAGCGCGCGCACGAACTCGAGGCTCCGCCGTGAGATGATGAGAGCATGCGTTGTTGCTACCTGCAGGGAAGGTTCTGTGGAAGTACCGCTTCGGGTCGCCCGTTGTCGCCATCTACGTGCAGAAGGCAGATGCTCTCACCAAGGTGCCTTTCACCTGCATCGGCATTGAGACCCTCAACTACCTCACCGCGACGCTCACGACGCCCGAGTGGATGATGCGCTTTCTACCGAGTGGTGGCACCACCACGCTGCAGTGAGTGCGGCCCCAATGCATCGACGCACGCATCGTTTACCTTGAGGCTGCTCGGTGTCTCTCTTTAAGGACTGCTGCTGCGTAGAAGCGGTGCTGGGGGTGACGGGTGGAGCCATCGAGTGGAGAGCCATGGTGCTCATGTCCTGGTGTGGTGTCGCCTGTTGGCTGAGCGTGTGTAGGAGGGAATACAAACAAATCTGTGTGTTAGCAGTCACCTCTATAGAACAGACAGCTGTGTCTAAAGGACACTATGCATTTTCCTTGATTAACAATTACTTAGCGTACCCAGCTCTATATGACGAACACAAGTGTATCAGGGAAGTTTTTGGGGTTTTCCACGAGTGACCTTTATATATAGATTTAACTGTACTTCCTATGTGGGCACGTGTGCCTAGTGTGTGGGTTGATAAGCCATTGTGAGAGTGATAGAACAAGGACGCTGTATGAAGAGTGATTGCACTGTGCAGGTGTCGCCTTACAACAGCTTGAGGGCATTGGAGATGAATCAATAGCAGGCACAGTGGGTTTCAGCGAGGTGCATACCTAGTGTTAGCAAAAGAAGTTGTGATATTCCTGTCGTAGTTAACGTCATTATTCACTATTTATCTCATTATTTACTTATCTATTCATCAAGTCGTGTAGTCTGATAGTGCTAGTTTACTCTATATACCGTAGGTTGTAACTACACAGATGTTTTACAACTTTTTACTGTTTGCAGTCCGACGCTGTACATAGGAGAGTACGAACATGGAATGTACGCACTGGATTCTCTCGTGGATGAGTCGTCGGTGGCGATCGCGGTGAGTGTGCACCCTGATTGCCGGTGTGGTCGTGACGGACCCTTAGCCCTTGAAGTGAAGAAAAAATGATCAATTGCAATACTCAAACAAACGACTGCAGAAAATTGGATTCCTTATTGGACCCCTTGCTGAGCATTTGAAATAGCAAGGGCTATGTCACTTTTTCGTTTTTTTCCACTTCAAGGGATATTTTGAAACCAAATCGGATATCATAACAGATCACGTTAGAGTTGATATTGTAAGCATGTTCTTTCTCTCCAGCCGAAGCATAGTCCACTGCTCATCGAGGGCCCTAACACCGACCAGTCACCCACCGGCCTGGGAGACAAGTCGAGCGGATCGAGTGCTGACAGCAATGAGAGATTACATCTCGTCATGCTGGGTAATAAAAGCATTTCCACATGAAGTTAGCAGTGCATGGCTGTGCATCGTCATGCTGGGTAATATAAACACTTCCATGGGTATGAAGTTGACAGTGTGTGGCTGCATAACCACTCAAAGAAGTCCACTTTGCTTATCACTTACATCTGCAAAAGATGTTCCCCCAATTTGCTCACATAGTGCTGATTGAAGTTTTCTGTAGCTGCAGTACATACCTATGCAGTATATACAGTAATGCGTCACTCGTGCACTAGTCCATAAATGCTTCGGTAAGATGGATGCAGTAACCATTTGAAAATGTAGCCACTGTGCTGTACACTTTCGATGGCTGCTGATCTATTAAATCTCATGGGACAGGTTGGTTATTAGATACAGGGTTGTACCCAGGACAATATTAGTGCCGGCTAATATCCCGGGTCTTCCTAATACGGCATATGCATAAATAATTATAATTGTAACATGGCGCCTAGCTAGCTATACTGCATGTACTGTGTGCTGTACGATGTGATTAGATGATGATTTTACACATAATTATTGTTGAGATTAAACTCAGAGTTGTTTTTTAAATTAATTCTATATCAGTTTTGATTATTTATAGATTGCTCACTATTTTGAAGGTAATTTTACACAAACTCAATCATTTTTGTGCCGGTTGGCCAACACCAGAGCCGGCTATTACCGACCGGCGCCGACCGGCGTAGCTACGATGGTCATTAGTCGTGGATGTTCTCCTTAATGTGTCGAGACTCGTTTCTTTCCTCGTGGCTTGCCACTTGGTGTCGCGCTGCAGAGGATGGTAATTTTTTTCTGCTGCTGCGTTGCTCTCAGGTTACCACGAGGTGCCAGATGATTCGCGCTACAAGCTGAATCCGGCGCGCCCTCGCATCACACAGCGACCCGACGAAGGCAAGGTCATCACGCCACTCATTCCCAATGCGACGGAGCACGAGACCGATGGAGGAGTAGGAGGCGGGGAACCCACGAAAGTTACGAAAGGAAACACACTGGCAGGTATGAGAGAGAGCTTGATGCAAGGCTTGCATAGCTGACGACTGTTTTGCGTGCGTGTGTTTAGTGTTGAGCGGTCAGTATCGAGCAATGTCGTTTGCTTTGCCAGGCAATTTTGCAATTGTATGTGACATGTTGAATGCTGAAATTCAGCAGCTTAGTCTATAAATAATTCAGAGTTGTCACTCGACAGTTCGCAATTATGCATCGAAAGCACGGCTTAACCCAGTGAACGTGGTTTCTTACAGCTGACTCGCCCCCAGGTGTCGCCACATACTATTTTACTGACAAAGCGGTGTTTGCGTTCTTAATTGTTGTGGTCACCACCAGCCTCTCGGTCGTGCTGCTGTACATGATACCAAATGTAAGTGCCACCACATGGAATCTGTTTATCTGGAAGATACTCCTATAGGAGAATAGCTACATTAATTATTGTAGCAATAATTAAATAGATGTGTGAAATAATCGGGTTGAAATTCCTGAAGTTTTTTGCAAGGCCTATGATTTTGCGGCTCTATGAATGATAAATTAATGGGAAACATTTAGACAAAGGATGGCTACTGAATTTTTCCTCTGAGTGCCTCTATTATATGTGGTGATAAGCACTGGCATGCTGAAGATATATATTGTGATGTGCGATTACAGTTCGTTTACAGTCATAGTTTTATGAATAAAACCAGTCTGCACTTAAGATTTTATGCTAGTTTTTAATGCCAACTAATAATATAATAGACACTTTGTTAATAATTGAGTTATATATATTTTTCCTTATGTAGTATTTTTTTATGATAACAACTTATAATTTGGAAACAATTTTAGTATTATTAGCCGGCTTATAGTTAAGTAGGTAATTCGCAATAATAATCTGGTGATGTTTTAACCACTCGTGTCTGTATGCAGATTGTGAGACACGAAATTGGGAAGTCAGTATCGAGAGATAACAGCTATGCTCAACACTCCGCTCAGACATCTACTCTCCCATCTGGTGAGCCGTGTTCGTACTTGCTAGTGATATAATTGTTAGAGCCTCGTCAAATGTTCTACAATCAAGTTAAGTGGAAGTGCAAAAAGAACGTGTAAATTATACAAATCCGTAATCACATAATCAATATTAAGTAATGTTGTCATTTTTAGTTTTTACTTATCATATATATATATGTTGTTACACACTGACATCATTAGTTCAACAATGGTTTAAATTCTATAGGCTTTTATTAGTGATTTGCATGATTACAGCGGTTGGCTCTACAACGGCACTGGAGAAGCTGCCTCTTGGCTGGATGAGAGTTGGGAAACTGATGTTTAATACTCAGGAGCCACTAGGCCATGGTTGCGAGGGAACATTTGTCTACAGGTGTGTCTACATGTGTGCGTGCATGTGTGCATTTGTACTGCGTGTGTGCATGTGTGCATTTGTATTGCGTACGTGTGTGCGTGTGTTTGTATGCGCATGCATTAAAATAGTGTGGCGATATGTTCTGCAAAAGTCAGGGAGAGAATTCTATTTAACCAGAGGTAAATAACTGTTTGGCTATGCAGCATCTCGATAGTCGTTAAATTATCGGTGTGTGTTTCATTATGGCGTGTGTCTGTGTGAGTCATTTAACTAGGGGTTTGATTGTTTTTTTTTAATTTATGTTAAAATTGTTTATTACTCGAGTTGTTTTGAGTGTGTTCCTGTTCGGTATAGTCAGTTTTCTCTTATTCAGTATGTCAGTCTTCGTCTGCGATCGTATGGTATCTAAATATTGTTGATTGACTGCTGACCACTGCTGAGCCTAACCCGTTGATGATGTCACAGGGGCAAGTTTGAGAACAGGGCGGTGGCCGTAAAGCGCCTGCTACCAGAATGCTTCAGCTTAGCTGACCGGGAGGTGGAACTGCTGCGGGAGTCTGACGAACATGCCAATGTCGTACGCTACTTCTGCATGGTAACTATGGCAAAGATGTGCGCTACTTCTGCACTGTAACTATGGCAACGTTGTACACTATTTCTCACGGTAACTATGGCAAAGCCATGTGCTACTTCTGCACGATGACTATGGCTGTGTCGTACTCTACTTCTGTACAGTAAGTGACTATGGCAACATCGTACACTACTTCCGCACTGTAACTTGCAACGTTGTTCGCTTCTTCCGCACGTTAACTATAGCAATGCATTCAGGTAGTTTTGTCACTTCTAAAAGGACACCAGTAACGATGATAATGTCTTATGGTCTTGTTCCGCGCATTGGTGGCTACCTGTGACTAGCATCGTATAGGGTTGAGCGGTTGCTGGCGTCCTAGACAGTCATCTCGGACTGACTCGTCGATGTTGTCGTTGCAGGAAGAGGACACGCAATTTCGTTACATTGCATTGGAGCTGTGCATGGGAACGGTGGAGGACTATGTAAAGAAGTCTGACTTCCCGAGAGATAAACTCAACCCCATCATGCTCCTCTATCAGGCTGCCTCGGGCATTGCTCACCTACACTCTCTACAAATAGGTGCGTAGCTAATGCAGTAAATGGCTATTGAATTCACTCAACTTTACATCTAGTGTCAAACCTGTGTAAGCATACAATTCCATAGAATTGGACATACATCTATAATGGACCCGTTTATGGGTTTTCCTTGAGGGGCGGTTACATACAGTGAAACATCTATAGAATTGACATTTGTATATATAGAAGATACTTCTGGTGTAACTCTTGAGTGACAGTCATCCAGCAAAACTCTCATCTATAGAATCGACACCCGTCCATACACTGCCATAGCAGATACTATTGAGGTTTCGCTCAAATGGCCATTATATAGACATGTTTGACCTACGTAACCCCTATTTGCCACCATTCGAGTTGGGCATTTGTGTGCATCGGATCCTTATATATCGGATACTTCCTTATTCCCCCGTGCCCAGGAACTGTGCAAAGGATTTTGTATGAAGTCTGCTCGTTTTTTTTTGGCACGAAAAATTACAGGTTAAAGCTCGAATTTGTAAATGAGCAAGCGACCGAACAGTGCTAATTGGCAACGTGCCAGATTTCTCACCCTCTCCATAGCAAACGATAATCTGTCGATGAAGCGTGACGACGCCTACGTCCAGATCGGAGTTTCCCTCCGGACGGACGTGCAATCCACTGCTAACCGTCGGTCAGACTACGCGGTGCGGCGTCGTCATTCATACCCGGCGTCTGTTATCAGTTCACAGGGACATCAAGCCGAGCAACATCCTCATGTCGCTGCCGAACAACCAAGGCCACATCAAGGCGCTCATCTCGGACTTTGGCCTCTGCAAGAAGCTCGCCGTCGGCCGAATGTCGTTCTCACGGCGGTCGGGCTCTGCGGGCACGACCGGCTGGATCGCGCCGGAGATGATGCACGACCACATGCGCACCGTGAGTGATGAGCGCCCCCTACTGGGCTGTCGCGTGTCAGCCCACGACTTGTCGGGGCAGCGGCAGTGCTGATTTTTCGTTGCCTGTTTTGTTGTGTGTCGGCGTTGGCGTGGAGCCGATGAGATGGCGAGCTCGTTCGGTATGCGGGTCATGTGTCGTAACGGATGCCGATGAAGAACGGACGTCGTGCTAGCCTGATTGTTTCTTGCTCACGTTCTAGACCTGCGCCGTCGACATCTTCTCCTTTGGCTGTGTGGTGTACTACGTACTCTCGCGCGGAATGCATCCGTTTGGTGACGCTCTGAGAAGGCAGGCAAACATAGAGGCGGGACACCATCACCTCAAATACCTCGACGGCGACGGTGAGGCGCGCAAAGCTTACCATTACTGCCACCAGGTGTCACTGCCTGTTGTAATTTCGCTTTTTTGCGAGGAAACTAGGACGAAATAATGCTTGAAATGTGCAGGTGCAACATTTTGAATCAGTGATTAACCAAGTTGACCTTTTACTATGAACGTCATGCTATTGAATGATCTCATTGAATCATTGACATCGTAACGATTACCATCAATTGTTGCGATCATGATGACCCAGCAGTGATATGCCATTTGTGATAATGGTGAGATGAAGTGTGGTGATAGTAATGCAGACAGCAGAGGTGATTACATGTCTTCATTCCTCAGATCACGATGTTGCCAGAGTACTGGTAATGTCATTGATAGCGAGGCGACCAGAGGTCAGGCTCAACTCACAGGCAGTTCTGAAGCATCCCTTCTACTGGAGTAGAGAGAAGCAGCTGGCCTTTTTCCAGGTATGCTATGTTAGTGTTGTTAGAAAGTGCCTCTCTCTCCCTTTCTCCCTCTTTCTCTTTCTCTCTCTCTCTCTCTCTCTCTCTCTCTCTCTCTCTCTCTCTCTCTCTTGCTC